ACAAGCAAAGAAAAGTATTCTTCAACTTGGCTGGCTTCTTGTGTAGTCTCTATATATATTCCTGAACACTTTCATAAAATCCAAAAGCTTCACAATCTCTCTCTCCTCAAGATGACATCAAGAATACTAACGAAACTTCCTACTCTCATTAATGTTTTCCTCCTGTTTTCTCTAGTTTTCTCAGGTGATTTAGTTTTTTTCATAGTTATTAAATTTTTATTTTGAGATTTAAAATTTCTCAAGTTACGCCGAATGTTACTACAGTGATTTTTATGATTTCATAGTTTTTTTTTTTTGACGATTACAAAATTTAGAGCATCTACATTACTAATATTTAAGGGAGCATTTCAGTAATTAAGAAAACATTGAAAAGTAAAATAGGAGATTTTTTTATAAAAATTCATGACAATATTATGAAAAACTTTTCATCCATTGGCACCATGTGATTGGTGTAATTCCTTTTTATAATAAACTATAATTATTTTAAAGTAGTTATTTTCAAAATTAAATAAATATAATATTTTTATTGGTTCGAGTATCTTACTAGTAGAGATGCTCTTAGTAATTACCTTTGAAACCTACTGATTTTTCAAATATTTATTTAGTGTTATAGATTTTGCATGGCAACTATTCCTAAATATTCCGTTCACTCATAGAAAATAAATGCAGGGAATATACTACAAAGTGTTACGTCTCTTGGCATCAATTACGGACAAGTTGGCGACAATTTGCCTTCACCGAATAAAGTTATTAACCTCTTGAGATCTCTAAGGATCAACAAAACAAGAATCTACGACACTAATCCTCAAATTCTTAGTTCCTTTGCAAATTCAAACATAGAGATCATAGTCACCATCGAAAATCAGGTCTTAACGTTGTTACAAGATCCTCAACAAGCTCTCCAATGGGTGAATTCTCGCATCAAACCCTATATACCGGCCACAAGTATCACTGGAATCATGGTCGGAAACGAGCTTTTCACCGACGATGACTCTAGTTTAATCGGGTAATTAATAATCATTACAAATTTACATCTCAATCTAATTAGTTACATAATTCAGATTTAGACCTTTACATAGCATTTTACAGTATTGTATTATAGTTTTTATACAAGAACAATATTTTGATTTTACTTTTCTCTTGTGTTTTGTAACAGATACATGATGCCAGCAATGATCAACATACACAAAGCCTTGTTCCAATTAGGTTTAGACAGATATATTCAAGTCTCGTCTCCTAGTTCTCTCGCCGTCCTAGCCGAGTCGTATCCTCCATCAGCCGGTAGTTTTAAGCCGGAGGTTACCTCCGTGATGCAACAATTTCTACAATTCTTAGAAGCCACGCGATCTCCTTTTTGGATCAATGCTTACCCTTACTTTGCCTATAAAGACAACCCTAACACAATTCCAATCGACTACGTTCTATTCAACCGTAACGTCGGCATGACCGATCCCAACACAGGTCTACATTATGACAACATGATGTATGCTCAAGTTGATGCAGTTGCATTCGCTGCTGCGAAATTAGGGTACCGTAATCTGGAAGTTAGGGTTGCGGAAACAGGGTGGCCATCCAAAGGAGATGCTGGAGAGATTGGCGCGTCTCCTTTGAATGCTGCCACATATATAAGGAATCTTATGATGAGACAGTTCGCCGGAGAAGGGACTCCGGCTAGACGGAGTCCAAGGCTAGAGGTTTATATATTCGCATTGTTCAATGAGGATATGAAATCTGGTCCTACGTCGGAGAAGAATTATGGAATATTTCAACCAGATGGATCATTGGCTTACGATTTGGGATTCTCTATGATGTCGAATACTACTGTGACCTCAGAACGTGTCACTTACTCATCTTCTGCCACTAAGGTACAATTAGTATGATGTTGTTTGTTTTCTCAGAATATGAAATTGTTGAAATCACAAGGAGAGTAGACGTTTTTGCAAGGAATTATATACACACACATATATATATATGTATAATGTGTATATACGTAATAGTGAATTCACTTTTTTTTTGTCTTACAGGCAAAGACGACCCTGAAGTATTGGACAATTTTGATATTGGCGATGACTGAAGTTGTAATATTGAGACTATTTTAGAGGGAATTTTACCGATGATATATAATAACGCGACTGGGGTTAGGATATTTACGCAAAGGATTTACTTATTTAAGTTCGATAACATAATTTCATGTTACTGTTCAATATTCCAATCAAATTTCGGTGAAAAAGTAAATTTATATATACATTTTGTGTTTCTCGTTAACGTGTAAGTTAAGACACATGGATATGATAAACTAATAGTAGTCAATAAACAAAAACAGTTATTGTTCAAGAAAAAAAAATTATATTGGCGGCTAGTTGCACATGAAAGCTTTGTGTTACTTCGACCCTTACGCATAAAAATAGAATCTACAAACTCTTGCGGCATATTTAAAATAGAAATCCTTAATTAATTCATTTATATATTATTTGATATTTTAAATATGATCCGTAATTTTAATACATAACCCAGAATGCAAATCTATGCATTGGAGTGGACGGTACGGAAAAGCTGGAGGTAAGGCTAAGAAGAAAAAATCAAGAAAGAACTTATGATCACGATTCTTAACCGTAAGCGTAAGTGTGAGGGTCAAGTACTGTGACTAGCTAGTACATGTGATTCGTTTGTCTGTTTTCAGAGTTTGTCTTTTTGGAAGAGTTTATTTCTGTACCAGTACAAACCAATATTTTTGGAAGCGATAACTCAATTAATATTCGAATCCGAAACTAAGAACTCCAATCGAATCCTAGTTTTTACCTCTTATAGTTCGAATAGGGGTGAAACTCATAAACCCAAACCGATACCCGCTATGTCCCCCGATTGCCCAGCTCTTAAAATTCTGTTCGGGTTTGTATTGGCCAATTAATACTTAGAGTTGTAGGTTTAAGACAACATGGTTCTTTATATGCATGCAAATTGACCAGATTTCTCCTTGACTCAGGTACAAAAGGTCACCTGAAGAAGAAGCGGTGGACGCTTCTATGCATTTTGCAATTCGCATATGATAATCTTTAAGTTTTAAATCAAATTTAACACACCAGTTTTTACGTAAAGAACACAAGATAGACCAGGTTTAGTTGTGTTCAAAAAAAAAACACCAGGTTTAGTTATAATACAAAGTACAGAAGTAACGCCCATTACTTAATTATTCGTTTGATCCTTATCTAAACTATTAAAACTGAAGTACATTTAGAACTTAGCCCTAACTTTTCCACAAAAATTACAAGTGAATGCCACTGATCTAACCCATTAATTTCTTAAACCAAAATAATTGCTTAAAACCCTTCCTTAATTAAATTCGACCATAACTAAACCGAACATATATTGTGTCTATTACAATTTAACCGTCCAAACCAACTATTCTAAGATATAAGGAGCGACTAAATGAGTGTATTGTAAATAAAGAGAATATTCTTAAAATAATTCCTCCAATTAATAGCATGAGCAGTTATGGAATATTTCCAATATTTTCTTCTCGGTAACAAAAACAACATAAAATCACGGCAATCCTAATTTATAATTGTATTTCTAAATACGAGCTTGCTTTTGCATTCAAATTTTTGTTTCTTAGAATATACTAATTTAATATTCTATAAGATAAAAACAATAAATATATGTATACTCCTAACATCCTGGTTCCCTCTAAATCTTACCTAATATCACGCATATATATTTTAAAACTAAGCTATTGTTCTACTAAAATCACTTACAAAGTATATCCTTTCTAAATCACAAAGATACTAATCATTTAGTTAGCAAATATATAGCTACCCAAAATCACACATAAATCTTATATAAAGAGCACATCACTGAGTCAAAAAAACATAACCATTAGACAATGGCTTCAAACAAGACCATCACAAAACTCAAAGACTTCAAGCCTTTTAAATGTAATTGGTGTGTCCAGGTCAAGTTGCTTCACTTATGTAAGCAAAATACCACTTATGTTGGGGACTCTCTATAGTTGATTTTGGCATATGAAACGGTTAGTTACAGTTTTGATTACATGACTACACAAATACTATGTTTTTAGTTTCAATATCAATACCAACATTGTCATCATATGTTTTCAGGGTATGAAAGTCCATTGCTCATGCAAGAAAGATAAAATATCCAGTTCAACATAATTGGCCCTTGGGTGAATGGCGCCTCATTGAGATATTTTCATTCTTACAAGCATCTGGTCGTGGATAAATCGTGGATCTATTGATGGATGAATCATAGATTTCGGTATTAATTCACCTATTGATGGATCGTGGATGAAGAAAAATCCTAACTTCATTGACTGATTTTTTTTTTTATAAACGTAAAGCTAACTAAATTTATTTTTCTTATACTAAGTTGTTAACAGTGTAAATAGGCAATTTGTTAAAATACGCATCCCATTAATCTAATATTTATTTCAATCTGGAACATTGTTTTTTTGTTTTGCTATTAAGAGGCTAACCAAATAAAAAGTGAGAAAATTTGTATCTAATCTATTAAAATATAAATACATTTAGTACTTAAACTTAACTTTTGCTTAATATTTACAAGAACTTGCCATTGAATTTAAATGAAATTTTGATACATTTATTAAAGGTGTTTAGTTAATTTAATTACCATCCATTATGAGATTCTACTCAGCTAAGATCACAGGCTGGGTTTGTTCTAATTAGTAATTGATTTTATTTTCCAAATATAATCCACCAATATAGCTAAACATTACCAATTCCGAAAATCAATTTATTACTCCCTCCGTTTCATTTTAATTGTCATTCTACGTTTTTGCACACAGATTAAGGAAACATTTAATTTTATATATTTTCAAGAAAAAAATACAATTACCTATACACCTAACCACTTTTCAACCAATAGAAAAATAAAATATTATATAAAACTAATAAATTTTATCTCGAAACTATAAAACGACACTTATTTTGAAACGAATTTTTTCTCCTAGAATGACAATTAATTCGAAACGGAGGGAATAGTAATCATTTCAAAATTAGCGAACATTAATTATCCTACCAAAGATTCTTAAAAAGTCGACAGTAACTTATTAAGATTAATATTATTAATCGGTAGGTTTATTCTCTAGGCTTGCAGCCCACATACAATATGCATAGCCTAACTGTCTAAGGTAAATCATAATCTTCTATAACTAAACAAAATATTCTCAATTTTTTTACCAAAAAAAAATATTATCAATTGTTATCCAATCAATTAAAAATCTTAACTAAAATAACACCATCCAATTGACATTCTCCAACAAATTATATATATACTTGTGATTTTATTTAATTAAAATGGTATATTACCTCCTATTTCTTTTAATGTCTTATTAATTATGCATTACATCATGATTGACTGTCGTATAGACGATTGACGGCTGCCAATTTCTACTGCCGTATTTCAAAACTCAAAATATTACGATATAAGGATAATATAAAATTAACATTTAAAAAAAGTAAATTCTTATTGTATTATTATTTTTTATCTTTCTTAAAAAATACATTTAATACAAAAAAATTATAAGGACTTAAAATATATAATAAGAAACAAAACAAAATGAAACAATATTTATTGTTTAAGAAATAATTAAATTAATTCGATCAAATCCACTATACAATTTTAAGTTCAAAATACATATTAAACAAACGTTCAACACTCGCAGTTTTAAAAAAAAAATCTCTTAAATCATATTAAAGTAATTAGATAATATAAAAGTAAGTATAATACCCGTGCGGGTGCACGGGTCAAAATCTAGTTTATGCATTAAGGTTGTAGTATACATATAATATCATGTGTTGCCAAGTGCCAACCATAGTAATATTCTTTTTTTCTTTTCTAGTCTTATGTATATATGCTTGTGTTAAGATGAACAAGAAATGCTTATAATTTTAGCGGTGTTGGCTTCTCTCTCTACGACCTGGAGAAGCTCCACCATTTCCACCGCCGGCGCCTGAGCCGCACTCTTCACTTGCGTGTCCAGTCCCACTTCCATGGCCAGAACCACCGTCTGTGGCTCCTCCTCCTCCTGAACCAAACCCAAACCCAGTTCCTGAACCAGAACCAGAGCCAAACCCATATCCGGCCCCTTTTCCTTTTCCATCTGGTGTCGAACCAGAACCGGAACCATAGCCATAACCACCTTCTGGGGTTGATCCCCATCCCCAATCATATCCCCAGTTAGGCCCATGAGCCGAACCGGTTGCACCGCTGGACCCTCCGGTGGGACTACTCGGGCTGGCTGCAGAATGAGCAGGGTTTCCAGACTCTCCTCCTCCATAGACAAACGAGAAGGCCAATAGTAGAGATATTAGAGCTAATGTAAGAAACTCACCTTTCATTTTCCTTATGAAATATTTGTTTCAACTCTTTATCTATGTTCTCACTAGGTTCAAGACTTTATATAAACACCCACTTACACGACACAGACACGTATCACTGTTATAGTGTTATTATGTGATGAGAAAATTTAGATAATAATATAAAAACTAAATAAGAAAAAGGAGAGTCAGTAAGTGATACCCGTGAGTCCGTGACAAGCTCTCTTTTAGGCATGTGAGAATCCAGTTTTAGGGCTATAATTAAAATGTCGGTTTCTCGTGATATTTTTTTTAAGGCTTCTATAGTAATGAGTCACACCACTCATGATTTGTGCTATTTTTTTAGTAGTCCACTAACTCTTTGGACATTGCTTTCTTTCATTACTTATTTGGTCAAAACTTAAATCATTTTCGTATAATCCTCAAATTTATAAGATCGAATAAATTCAATGAAAACGCATTAACCTAGCTTGTGTCAATGGTTCCGTGAGAATATTATACCTTTTCAGAAAAGGTTTTTCCATGCCTCTATTGTGTGATAATTTTCTGGCTTTAAATCAGAGTGTATTATCTGGTTTTATGAGATGTGCCTTACTCTCCCACACATGTGTACGTTGTTTAACCCTTTAGAAAAAATGATAAAACTTCTTTAGAAAAATTATTCTTTGTAAGTTTTTTTTTGTCGGTATGTTATGTTTTTAATCAATACACAAGAGTTAGCTACCAGAACTATGTAATTATTTGGTCATTAAGTACTTTTCCTAAACAGTTCCCGTGAGTTGTTGACAAATGGCAGCTCACATTCTAAAATATCTTTTGCTGGTTCTCTAGAGATTTCCACTAACATAATGAATTATGTCGGTTAGCAGTTAAGATAATCCTACTACCAATACTTTTTTCATGTGTCTTAGGAGTTTGCGATATGCTTTATTTTCGATCTTTCGACAGGTATCTAAGGCCAGTTATTGTATGCTAGTCATTTTCTACATATTCTTTCCCACACAATAGAAAGAACTAGGGAAGAGGCATGAATTAGATATTCACATACAATCAAATTCCTTTTTTTTTCCTTTAAATATTCGTCCAAAAACACTAAGCAATTTAAGACTGATAGTTCAAAAAAAAGACTGATAATTCAAATAATGTTATTCATTTGTATTTTCCTTGATTTAAAATCTGTTTATAATTTAAAAAAGATTCAGCTCTAAAATTTAACATAGACTTCTTTATTATTTGTAAGTATACTTCAAATTTAGTTTGAGAATCTTCAAAATCATTACAAAAAAAAATTACACTATTTAGTTTTGATTTTTATAAAAAGAAATTTCCATAAAATCTCAGAATAATAGTATAGCATGTGACTAAAACTAGGATTACCCGGTGCTTTAAAAACATATATTGAATTTTTGTTCTCTGATGACATTAAGCTAGGTGGCATCCTCAAATTTTTTGGTTTGGCCAGTGTCCAGAGATCACCCCGGCGCCGTGCCTCTTTTCATGTTTTTCTTTTGTGTTATTATCTATGAAGCTTTATGATATTCTCATTGCACGTGGACACTTACTTAAGAGCACAATTATCAGGGAGGGGGTTTAGGGTGCTTAGCACAAAAGTAGGGGAGGGGGGGCAAATAAAGAAAAAAATCGATGTTTCTGTTGCCCCAATAAGCATCGGCTATCATGGGTATTTGGACTGTTCTGTGGGCCCTACAACATGTAGCTGTCCGCAGTTTATTCTTTTTTTATTTTATTTTTAAATCTGAAAAAAAAGAAAAGAAAAAACAAAATTTTAAGCACTTCTTTTTCTGAATTCCCGATAATCCTGTTCTAAGCTGATCATCCTTTGAAATATTAGAAATTTTCATCACGTTGTGGTGCCATTAGCAGGCTCGTCTTGACCCTGGACACAAGCAACATTTTTCTATGATTTTATTAAAATAACAATTTATTGAGCGTCAAAAGAGAGTTATAGAGAGACCAAGAGAATTAATTATAAAAGAAAAATATTTTTCTTACACTACAAGAAAACGTTGTCATAGCGACTAAGTATTGCGACTACATATGTGTAGTCGTAATTTTAAATCGCAATTACGACTACATTACGTCTAAAAAAGCATTAATCGTAACTCAGAGGTTAACTTGCTACCAATAATAATAGACGTACATTAGTCGTAACATAACGACCAATATACGACTACATGTCCGTGTAAACGTACTCTGGTCGTTAAATTACGACTAGTGTACGACTACACGTGTTTAGGATTTCGGTCAAGGCTTTAATGGTAGGTTGATGCTAATTGGTTGTAATGTACGACTCAATTACGACTAAATGATGGTACGAGATGCTAATTAGTCGTAAAATTTCGAAGCTAAGTAGTCGTAATGTCCCCTATAAAAGAACCATCGTTTTCTCCCAAAAGACAAACAAAAATTTTAAAATATTTTAGATATAGTGTTGAAAGATTTGAAAAAGAAGAGAGAAAGGTACTCGGATCAAAACTCCGAAGAGATCAATGCGAGACGAACGTTGAAACATTGGTTTCGCATAGAATCCACGAAATTATGACTCTAGTATCTTTCTTCTCTTCTTTTCCAAATATTTCTAAACTAATATTTTGAAATATATTAATAAAGAGAGTTGATAATTGAGTCGAAGAGTTTAAAAATATAAGAAAAAGAGAGAAAAAAGACACTGGGATCACAACTCCAAAAAGATTAATGCGGGACTAACATTGAAACGTTGGTTTCGCTTAGAATCTATGGACTTGTTTCCACTGTCTTTCTTCTCTCTTTTTAAAAAAAAAAATATATATTACAAATGTAGTCCTTAATTGGTCGTAAAGGCCATTTGTCACTCATTGGTTGTAAATTTACGACTAATATACATCTAATATATTTTACAACCAATGAACTACTATTTGGTTGTAAATTGGTCGTAAAAGTGCGACCAAATTACGACTAATTCTTTTGCATCCATTTTGCATTTGTTTAACTACTAAGTTAACTACCTACCAAAATCGAAATTTCTCTATAAATATGATCTTCTTCCTCATTCTTAAAACATGAAAAAAAAACAGAAAACTTTTTTTAAAAATGTCTAGAAATATTTATGAGATCCGGAGTTGAATGTATGCACATAAAGATTCAAGAGGAATAGTAACTGATGAATTTCTCAACGGAGCAGAGATGTTCATGAACCAGGCCGGACAAACGTCTCTCACACAGGAAACGGGTAAAATGTTTTGTCCTTGTCGTAAATGCAACAATACGAAGTTTGCTGCTAGTGAAACGGTTTGGAAACATATCGTAAATAGAGGATTTACTCCACATTACTATATCTGGTATAACCACAGAGAAGGTGATAATAGGAATGAAGCTAGTAGTAGTAAACATGTTGAAATAGTTCATAACAGAGAGGAACCACATTTGCTTTCTGAAAGTTACCTTCAAGAGGATCATCATATGGTAGATCATGATAGGATGCATGATATGGTCACAGATGCATTTCGTGAAACAACATCTATTATAGAGGAGGTAGAAAATGTAGAGGGGCCTAACTTGGATGCAAAAAGGTTTTACGAAATGCTAGCAGCAGCTAATGAGCCAATTTATGAAGGTTGTAGAGAAGGTCTTTCTAAATTATCATTGGCTGCTAGGATGATGAATATCAAAACTGATCATAACTTACCTGAAGTTTGTATGGATGCATGGGCTGAGTTGTTTAAAGAGTATTTGCCTGAAGATAATTTGTCTGCTGAATCTTATTATGAGATTTAGAAACTTGTTCATAGTCTTGCCTTGCCTTCAGAGATGATAGATGCCTGTATAGACAACTGTATGATCTTCTGGGGAGATGATGTCTAATTGTTAGAGTGTAAATTTTGCAAGAAGCCGCGATATAAACCGCAAGGACGTGGACGAAATAGGGTTCCGTACCAGCGGATGTGGTACTTATCCATTAAGGATAGACTGAAGAGATTATATCAATCTGAAAAGACGGCATCATCAATGAGATGGCATGCGGAACATACCCAGAAAGAAGGCGAGATCAATCATCCCTCTGATGCAAAAGCGTGGAAACACTTGAATTCAGTGTACCCTGATTTTGCAAGTAACCCCCGGAACGTTTATCTTGGACTCTGTACAGATGGCTTTAGTCCATTTGGAATGTCTGGAAGACAATACTCGCTTTGGCCAGT